TCAAAGATAAGGTGACCATATGTGCATGGGTTTATCTCTGGGCTTTCTATCCTATTCCATTGATCTATCTTTTGTTTTTGTGCCAGTACCATATGGTCTTGATTACTGTAGCTTTGTAGTATAGTCTGAAGTCAAGGAGTCTGCTTCCTCCAGCTCCATTTTTTTCCCTCAAGACTGCTTTTGCTATTTAGGGTCTTTTGCATCTCTATAGAAATTTTAAGATTTTTTTGTGCTAGTTCTTAAAAAAATGCCTCTGGTAATTTGATAGGGATTGCATTGAGTTTGTAGATTGCTTTGGGTAGTATAGTCATTCACAATATTTTGATTCTTCCAATCCAAGAACATGGTATATCTCTCCATCTGTTTGTATCATCTTTAATTTCTTTCATCAGTGTCTTATAGTTTTCTGCATACAGGTCTTTTGTCTCCTTAGGTAGGTTTATTCCTAGGTATTGTATTCTTTTTGTTGCAATGGTAAATGGGAGTGTTTCCTTAATTTCTCTTTCTGATCTTTCGTTGTTAGTGTATAGGAATGCAAGAGATTTCTGTGCATTAATTTTGTATCCTGCAACTTTACCAAATTCATTGATTAGCTGTAGTAGTTTTCTGGTGTCATCTTTTTTTTTTTTTTCATCTGCAAACAGTGACAGTTTTACTTCTTCTTTTCCAATTTTTATTCCTTTAATTTCTTTTTCTTTTCTGATTGCCGTGACTAGGACTTCCAAAACTATGTTGAAAAATAGTGGTGAGAGTGGACATCCTTGTCTTGTTCCTGATCTTAGAGGAAATGCTTTCAGTTTTTCACCATTGAGAATGATGTTTGCTGTGGGTTTGTCATATATGGCCTTTATTATGTTGAGGTAGGATCCCTCTATGCCCACTTTCTGGAGACTTTTTATCATAAATGGGTGTTGAATTTTGTCAGAAGCTTTTTCTGCATCTATTGAGATGATCATAGGTTTTTTATTCTTCAGTTTGTTAATATGGTGTATCACATTAATTGATTTGCATATATTGAAGAATCCTTGCATCCCTGGGATGAATCCCACTTGATCATGGTGTATGATCCTTTTAATGTGTTGTTGGATTCTGTTTGCTAGTATTTTGTTGAGGATTTTTGCATCTATATTTATCAGTGATATTGGTCTGTAATTTTCTTTTTTTGGAGTATCTTTGTCTGGTTTTGGTATCAGGGTGATGGGGGCCTCATAGAATGAGTTTGGGAGTGTTCCTTCCTCTGCAGTTTTTTGGAAGAGTTTGAGAAAGATGGGTGTTAGCTCTTCTCTAAATGTTTGACAGAATTCACCTGTGAAGCCATCTGATCCTGGACTTTTGTTTGTTGGAAGATTTTTAATCACAGTTTCAATCTCATTACTTGTGATTGGTCTGTTCGTATTTTCTATTTCTTCCTGGTTCAGTCTTGGAAGGTTATACCTTTCTAAGAATTTGTCCATTTCTTCCAGGTTGTCCATTTTATTGGCATACAGTTGCTTGTAGTAGTCTCTTAGGATGCTTTGTATTCCTCTGGTGTCTTTTGTAACTTCTCCTTTTCATTTCTAATTTTATTGATTTGAGTCCTCTCCCTCTTTTTCTTGATGAGTCTGGCTAATGGTTTATCAATTTTGTTTATCTTCTCAAAGAACCAGCTTTTAGTTTTATTGATCTATGCTATTGTTTTCTTAGTTTCTATTTCATTTATTTCTGCTCTGATCTTTATGATTTCTTTCCTTCTGCTAACTTTGGGTTTTGTTTGTTCTTCTTTCTCTAGTTCCTTTAGGTGTAAGGTTAGATTGTTTAGTTGATATTTTTCTTGTTTTTCAGGTAGCCATAGCTATAAACTTCCCTCTTAGAACTGCTTTTGCTGCATCCCATAGGTTTTGGATCATCGTGTTTTCATTGTCATTTGTCTCTAGGTATTTTTTGATTTCCTCTTTGATTTCTTTAGTGATCTCTTGGTTATTTAGTAATGTATTGTTTAGCCTCCATGTGTTTGTGTTTTTTATGGTTTTTTCCCTGTAATTCATTTCTAATCTCATAGTGTTGTGCTCAGAAAAGATGCTTGGTATGATTTCAATTTTCTTAAATTTACTGAGGCTTGATTTGCGACCCAAGATGTGATCTATCCTGCAGAATATTCCATGTGCACTTGAAAGAAAGTGTAATCTGCTGTTTTTGGTTGGAATGTCCTATAAATATCAATTAAATGTATCTGATCTATTTTGTCATTTAAAACTTGTGTTTCCTTATTAATTTTCTGTTTGGATGATCTGTCCATTGGTGTAAGTGAGGTGTTAAAAGTCTCCCACTATTATTCTGTTGCTGTCGATTTCCTCTTTTAGAGCTGTTAGCAGTTGCCTTATATATTGAGGTGCTCCTATGTTGGGCGCATATATATTTATAATTGTTATATCTTCTTCTTGGATTGATCCCTTGATCATTATGTAGTGTCCTTCCTTGTCTCTTATAACATTCTTTATTTTAAAGTCTATTTTATCTGATATGAGTATTGCTACTCCAGCTTTCTTTTGATTTCCTTTTGCATGGGATACCTTTTTCCATCCCCTCACTTTCAGTCTGTATGTGTCCCTAGGTCTGAAGTGGGTCTCTTGTAGACAGCATATATATGGGTCTTGTTTTTGTATCCATTCAGTGAGTGTGTGTCTTTTGGTTGGAACATTTAATCCATTCACATTTGAGGTAATTATCGATATGTATGTCCCTATTGCCATTTTCTTAATTGTTTTTTTTTTTTTTTGTAGGTCCTTTTCTTCTCTTGTGTTTCCCACTTAGAGAAGTTCCTTTAGCATTTGTTGTAGAGTTGGTTTGGAGGTGCTGAATTCTCTTAGCTTTTGCTTGTCTGTAAAGCTTTTGATTTCTCCATTGAATCTGAATGAGTTCCTTGCCGGGTAGAGTAATCTTGGTGTAGGTTCTTCCCTTTCATCACTTTAAGTATCTCATGCCACTCCCTTCTGGCTTGTAGATTTTCTGTGAGAAATCAGCTGTTAACCTTATAGGAATTCCCTTGTATGTTATTTGTCATTTTCCCCTTTGTCTTTAATTTTTGTCAGTTTGATTACTATGTGTCTCGGCGTGTTTCTCCTTGGGTTTATCCTGTATGGGACTCTCTATGCTTCCTGGATTTGGGTGGCTATTTCCTTTCCCATGTTAGCGAAGTTTTCGACTATAATCTCTTCAAACATTTTCTCAGGTCCTTTCTCTCTCTCTTCTCCTTCTGGGACCCCTATAATGTGAATGTTGTTGTGTTTAATGTTGTCCCAGAGGTCTCTTAGGCTGTCTTCATTTCTTTTCATTCTTTTTTCTTTATTCTGTTCCACAGCAGTGAATTCCACCATTCTGTCTTCCAGGTCACTTATCCGTTCTTCTGCTATTCTGCTATTGATTCCTTCTAGTGTAGTTTTCATTTCAGTTATTGTATTGTTCATCTCTGTTTGTTTGTTCTTTAATTCTTCTAGGTGTGTGTTCTTTAATTCTTCTAGGTCTTTGTTAAACATTTCTTGCATCTTCTCGATCTTTGCCTCCATTCTTTTTCCGAGGTCCTGGATCATCTTCACTATCATTATTCTGAATTCTTTTTCTGGAAGGTTACCTATCTCCACTACATTTAGTTGTTTTTCTGGGGTTTTACCTTGTTCCTTCATCTGGTACATAGCCCTCTGCCTTTTCATCTTGTCTGTCGTTCTGTGAATGTGGTTTTCGTTCCACAGGCTGCAGGATTGTAGTTCTTGCTTCTGCTGTCTGCCCTCTGACCGCCCGTAGATTCTTATACCCTATTCATGCAAGGGTGGGGAATGTCTCATTCTAGCCAATCAACATACATTGAATATCACCAATTTCTCCAATATGAATCCATTTCCAACACCCATTATGCGAAATTGACAAATTACTCATTTCAGTAACAGAAAAACTCATTGCTAACATTCATTATGCTACTTAGCAAAGCATCCAGTGTTGCTAAGAGATAAAGATAGCTGAAGCCCTTATAACAGCTGCATCTGGAATTGGGCCTTTCCAGTACAATGCTAGCTAACCACTCCTGGGTGTGAGCCCCTAATTAAAGAAAATGACAGCCCCCAGGGTATAACAAAGTATCCAACATATACATTAAAACACACTGCTTTTGCTAAAGAATTTTAAAGTAAATTACATTTAATAGGGGGCAGAGAAGAGACTTCCTCATTATTTATTATCTATCTCATTCTTGATTACATTTATTTCAATTATTCCTTGCTGTACAATTAAAAGAAATTTTAAAGGCACAGTCATAATTTATTCTAAAGAGATATAAAGTCATTAGCCAAAATGCTACATCCCTGCCATGAGAAACAGGCTTTCTTTTCAATTTTATTTTCCCCTTTTGATGGTGGTGGAAGAAATATTAGAAATAGGGTTCTCAAACTCCGATCTTTAGTGGAGCACCCCCACTCAGTACACGATTACACACATACAACACCGCTGACAGCTGGTTGTCCAGACCACGTCCATTGGTGCAGGTTGTGCACTGCACGACATAAAGCAATCCATTTCTTTTCTGGTAGCTCATATTTTGTCAAAAAAATTTTTGCCTCCGTCCTCATTATTTCTTTAAGTAGATGTCATTTCTTCACAATGACTTTTCAAACACTGAAACAGAGATTTCATGTTAGTCTCTTTACCAGGCAAAACATTCATAAATCTTTCGGCCTTTCTCCTAGTAACCCTTTACTGGACATGAGTTTGTGTTAAAATGCAGGGTCTAAAATTAAACACAGTACTCTCGGTGCAGAGCACAGTGAAACTTCTGCTTCCCAGGAGCTGAGGCGCATGCTCTTACAACGTCATGACAACCTACGATTGTTTTAGATCTTTACCAGTTTCATCATGCTATTAAGAAAAATCAACCTTGTGGTCAGCTAAAACCCTCAGATCATTTTTTCATATCAAGGCCTCACCTGGGGCAGATTTCTCATCAGCAGGCTGAGTTATATCCTTGTGACTTTTAGGTGACCATGGAGATTACTTCCGGCTGCTGCTTCCAGGTACCTACACTGTCACTGCCACAGCACCCAGGTTTGACCCAGAGACAGTGAGTGTGACCGTGGGTCCTGGGGAACCCAAACTGGTGAGTTAGGCTGACCTTTACAGAGCACTGTAAAGGTCACTTATACAGGGTTACAGATAATCGATTGTATAGTTGTAATCTTTGCCAAGCTTCCCTCTTTCACCATCTAAAAAAAAATTCATTGCTCTCATATGCTAATTTTTCTTCTGTCATTCTCCTATTACATCCTTACCCACTTCCTTTTGGTTTTTCCTTTTCCTTCTGTTTAACATAGTATAATGATTAAAACACTACCTGATTCTAAATCCAGCTCATTTGTCCACAGATCTTGGACAAGCCACCTGATTGCTCTCATTCTCAGTTTCTTCCTCTGTAAATTGGTAATAATAGTGCCTCCTTCACAAGAGGTTGAAATGAGAAAGTGCATGTAAAGCCTTTATTACAGTGACTTACACGTAGAAAGTGCTCAACAAATGTTAGTTCGTAAACCCCAGAGACCTTGCCCAGATACACAGGCTTACGTTCTTCTGCGCAAGGACTACCACCAGATGGCACTCTGCCCCCTTCTGGTGCCCATGTGCCCGGGCAGCCTTGCTTTCCACCTACCTCAGCAAAGAGACAGCTTCAGTCCAGTATTCAACTCTCCAAAAGGCTTTCTTTTATAGATAGGATGAGAAACAAAGAACTGTTTTGATCTACAGCCTGGACCTTTTTAGCTTTGGTCGTATTAGATTGTGATCTCAGAGGCAAAGAGGCTCAAAGATCATGGTCACTAATCCTCTGGTTTCTCAAATGAGGAAAAGGTAATGATGCCATCCTGGTTAATGAGCATCTATGGACCTTTTTCTCATGTCAGGTCTTCCCTCCTCAGTCTGTCCTGTTCCTTCTCTATACATCCCAAGAGCTTAGCAGACCCTCCCTCCCCTTTCCCTGTTAACTCAGTGCAGTCAAGTTTCTTGCCTTTTCAAATAGTTATAGGTACTATTCATTGAACAGCCACTGTGTGTCAGACATTATCTGAGAGCTTTCCAGAATTATCTCATTTAACCTTCAAAACAATCCTGTAAGGTAGATCTACATATCCCCATTGGTGGCTGAGGAAAGTGAAGCTTAGAGAACATAAGTAACTTGTCCAATACCACACAGTGAGTAAGTGGGAGCCATGATTCCAGCCTCTGTGGGGCTTTCAGGACTGCCTTCTTAGCCAGTCTGTTACAGGGCCTCGAGCTAAGCTCACAACCTGTGTTCATAATCCCTTATTTTAACACAAGGATGAAGGTCAAGAGCTCCTTAAATCCTTTGAAAATTCCTCTGAAATTTCTAGACAGTTCCCCCTTTCCGCTCCACTCCCATCTCCTGCAGGATATAAACGACTTCTACTTGCAGATGCAGGAAGCAAAGAGTAACTCTTCCCTGGCAGCCTGTTACCTGGTCCCAATTTCCCTACCAATGCATCCTCTTTCTGGTCCCAATTTCCCTACCAATGCATCCCCTTTCCCTTTTTTCTTGTTATCCCCCTGCTCCTCATGTACCCTAAAATCAAATGACTGTTAGGCAGCTGCTTACAGAAGTCTTGCACTACATGCAAGTCTATTCAATTGCAAATTCAAACAAGGACAAATCCTCTTAAGTAACAAATTCTGCTTCAAAAGATCTCATCTCCTTTGTCATATAGTCTTTAAATTAATTAACATAACCCATCATTGTATCAAATATAACTCAGAGGGGGGAAAATCTGTCTTTTGGATACAATTCTCAGATACAGTCACAACTAAGAATTCATTTATTGATCCCAGCTGAGTCTTTTCCCATTCTAAAGCAGAGATCCATTTGGTTGAGGGAAGAGAAAAGAAAAAAGATCATTTACTAGAGGGTTTTCATGCTGCAAATAAAACTCTTTAAAGTATCTCCGAGAGTCCAGTGTTTTCCCCTTGGCTTTCCCCACTGCCTTCCAGATGTCCCGCTCCTTTCATTTCCTCTGTCCTCCCCTCATTTTGTTGTCTCTCTCTCTCTCTCTCTCTCTTTCTTTCGTTTCCTCGATCCTTATATTACTATATAGGAAATAGTACTAACACAGTGTAATTGGCTCTGATTTCTCCCGCTTTGGGAGAGCTAGCAGAAAAGCTGGCTGTGGTTTGTTGTGAAAGGGGCAAGAAATAACCCCGTGAAGAGGTCTGTCTGTCATATGTTTTCCAACTCCCCGCTGGCTTCAGCAGCTCACACTGTTCCCAGGGCCTGAAAGCCAAGGATGCCTCTGGGGAGTGTGGTTAGAACACTGTGCCACACCCTCGCCTTTTCCTTCCTGGGACAGCTCTATGGCTTCTGCACAGCCAGCACATCCCACACTTGTCAGTCAGAAGCATCTTTACCTCTGTGTGCATGGCCAGAAGGGAAGTTTCAATGTACTGCTGGAAACAGTACATTAATGCACATGGACACTGGGAATTTAAGAATCCATACTAACAATCTATATCATCTCTACTATCTCTATTTCCAAACAGTTATGACAGAAAGTTTAGTTCTGAAATTCTGAGGCATTCTTTGGCATTCCTGAGCACAACGCCTATGATTCACAGAGTCAGCATAAAGGGAATTATTGTGGCACCATCAATCTTAGTTCTTGTGCTGAGCAACAGTATCGGTAAAATCACGGTTTGAGGTGTAGATATAATTTTTTCTATTACAAATAAATGTACATTAAGTTCATGTCGATGTACCCTATGTATCACCAGTGATTATGTGCCACTTTGAGGGGAATGTTAGCCAAGCCTGTATGACACCACCAGTGCTGCTCTGGGTGGTTGCTGTGTTATTTTCCTTGGTCCCTTGTCCTCAGAACCCGGAACCATGGTAAAACAAGGTCCAAACTGATCTTCTGACAATTTCAATCCTAGGAAATGGAAAACTGATTCCTGTGCTCTCCTAGCTTCTTTTTCTTTTTTCCAGGTTAATTTCCAACTCAAGAGAAGCACCCCTCCAGCAGCCCCTAAGAGGAGAGGCCCCAACTCAGGGCATAGAGGCAGAGTCTTACCAAAGAAAGTACAGCCCCGGGCAGCTAAGAAAAAAGAAATGATGATGAAACAGTCCCAGAGAGTCCCTGCCTGAAATCCACAGTCCCCGGGGCAACACTTTAGAAAGGCTTTGTTCCCACTCTCACACCAGATGAAGCATTCTTTCTATTTTATTATCTGAGACATATTTAAATATAAAAATATTCAGAACAATTCAGAATGGTCTCCATCTGTTCCAGGGGTAAACCCTCTGATGCAGCAGTACATACATGCAGTGGTGTTCAGTAAGATTTTCTGATTCTGAGTATATGGTTTAGGTCCAGAAGGCTCTAGGCCAGTCTATGTGTCCAGAGACTGGTTCTGGCTAGTTAGTCACTATCTCTAGAGTCTAGCAGAGAGCCTGCAACACAGTAAGTACTCAATGAAGGTTTCTGGATGAAAGGCTGAAAGGCTGAAATGATCCATCATTACATACCAAGACCAGGTGACCAATTCTTCTGAATTCCCAGAGGACTGTTTCAACAAGAGCCAATAGTTTCTTATTAAGAAAAGGATTTCACACGCAAACACCTAGTCCCGCTGCTTCATACATGGGCATTTTAAACAGTATGCATCTTTCAAACATTTTCTGGGCGTATAAGTGTAATGCAGATGCCCCTGTGGAATGACTGTGTCCTGACCCTGTGCCAGGGATACACAGCACTCTCCACCCCACTGAGTTCTCCAGAACGAACCCATTTGTACTAAAAGTGTTATTAAGCAAAGTAGATGTCACAAAGTGTTATTAAGTAGATGTCACAAAGATTTTGAAGGCATGTGTAGTCTTTCATCACACATCAGTCAAGTTCATAAACCGCCACTGGGCATGCTGGGCTTCCCATTTACCCATCATCACCCATTTCAGGGAGCCTCAGTGAGACAGGGCAGAGGCTCCATTTCCCCTGACTTGCTCTACCTCCCCCCACCTTGTCAGCCTCCCCCACTGGCGCCCCAGCCTCTAACTCACCCAGACCTTTCTTAACATTGAGCAAAGTAGCTGCTCTCAACAAGTATTCCCACACCCACCAGAAAACAAGAGGTGCTCTAGCTGTGACAGTCCACCCTCTGTAGGAGGCCATTCAAGATTAGGATTAACACATGATTTACTTTTGTCACTTGAGCAATCTCTCAATCTGCAGTTAAAAGGGAAACAGAAGAAAAATATACCTTTTCCCATTTAAAAAGGAAATTCTCTCCTCAGGTGATGTTTTCTTTCTTCCCAATTTTAATCCCATATCCCTTGGTTCCCTTCTTATTGTTAGAAAGAAGGAGCTACTTGAGGGGGCTCTTTTCAATTCAGTGAGACTTTGTGCCTGAGGTTGCCATATGCAGTCGATTTTTCCAGATTGTCTGAATATCACTTACTTTGATTTCAGCTTCCCTCGTACATAGCCATTTAGCAGAGCTGATGTTTGCAAAGTATGGTCACAGTGCTTTCTCTGGCCCAACCGTATGCTTTTATTTATTCATTTATTCATTCATTCATGCAGGGGACATTCATTGAGTCCTTGCTCTCCATAAATGCAGAGAATACAAAGAGAAATAAGATACAGCTCATTATCTCAGGGCTGCCCATGACCTAGTTGGGAAGACAAATAGGTCATTACATTGCCTTGTGATAATTGCTGTGATGCAGTGAACGCTGGGGCAGGGGGATGGGGAGACTGTGCGAAGGGCCCTACCATAGTCTTGGGAAGATCAGGAAAGGCATATCAGAGTTCGTGAAGTCTACGGTGAGATGTAATAAGGTCAGATAAATAGGCATTGGCCAGGGGGAGGGAAATGGGGGAGCAAGAATTAGGTTGAGGGGACTGCAAGTATCGAGGGCTGGAGGCTCTGGAGAGGGGGGCCTTTGGGGAGCTGCAAGAAATTCAGCACAGGGGGAGTGAGTGAGGTGCCAGAGAAGCCAGTGGGGTAGGGAGGGTCCAGACCGTGCAGGACCTTTGAACCATATTACAGAGCTTGGACTTTATCCTGAGAAGAACAAGGAGCCGTTGGAGGGTTCCACTGAGGGGAGCAACAGAATCAGATTTAGAGCCATCACCCTGGCTGCAGCCTCAAGAGCTGGCTGGAGCAGCGGCAAGGCTGACTCAGTGAGAAGGCTGCTGAGAACCGGGTGAGAAGGTGGCCCAAACTGGGGCTGGGCAACAGGGGTGGGGACCACCAGGCAACTCATGAGTTACCCAGAGGGCTTCCTGTCAGCCCCCGATGGCTTCACTGCCCTCTTCAAGATTTGCAGCCATCTCATTCAGACGCTCCCAGCCTGCCATCCTGAGGATTTTAAGCACTAAAGGAGATGCAGATTTTCAGCCAAACCTTAGACTATCCTGAGTAAAATTCACCCAAGCAGGAGATGATAATACAGACAGAATATTATATGGAAAATACAGGGTCTGGCCGTGACTGTATGAAAATTTCTCAGTATGGAGGAAGGATGTGAAATCAGAGCTGATGGCGGAGAGAGAGGGCAGGATTCAGAGAACAAGAAGGAACGTCCTCCAACTTTGAGTCCAGCATTCTCCTGGCCAGGAGCCTTTCTATTTTATGTCTAGGATCTTATTTTAAAGAGGAAGTCTTCCACACAAAATGCCAGCCTAGATAGATAATGTTTCCCAAAGGGGTAGAATACTGTAGTTAAAGGCATGGATTTTGGACTCTGACAGACCTGAGTTTTAATCCTAGCTCTGCTCCTTATTTGCTGCATGACCTTGAACAAGTAACTTACCTTCTCTGAATCATGGTTACTCATATGGAAAAAAGAAATGGAGATAATATCTACCTTCACTTGGAATTAAAGGTGAGACTCTCATAAATCAGTAGGGAGGGGAAGGCAGCTCCTGTCCTGGACCCTCCTCAGAGGAGTATCACTCATCAAACTAGTCGATTGTAAACCAGCGAGGCTGACAGGGACATCATGGACTTAGGGGTGCAAAGGGGAGTTTGGAAGTGAGGCAGATCCCGAGGAGCTGAACCCAGCCTATTCTGTCTCTCTCTCTCTCTCTTTTTTTTTTTAAATCTCATGTGCTGGAAGGTCTTTGTTTGTTCCATATTATTCCTAGCACTTTTCCTTCCAGATTGAAGATTTTTTTTTTTTTTTTTTTTTTTTTTTTGCGATATGTGGGCCTCTCACTGTCGTGGCCTTTCCCGTTGCCGGATGTGCAAGCTCGGCGCCCATGGCTCACGGGCCCAGCCGCTCCGCGGCACGTGGGATCCTCCCGGACCGGGGCACGAACCCGTATCCCCTGCATCGGCAGGCGGACTCTCAACCACTGCGCCACCAGGGAGGCCCTGAAGATTTTTTTGACACAATGGTTTTCCTCATATGACTAGATAGGAGAATTTCCAATTTTCAGACAGGATGATACCTAATGACTGTTGGACCTGGTACTGGTGCCTGAAGAAGTTTCTGCTCTGGTAAGCTGTGACTACCTTACCTTTTCATTGTACTCTGCCCAGCACTCAGAACAGCGCCTGGTATATATAAACACAGCAAACATATTTGTTGAGTGAATAATTCCAGGATTATTTTCATATTTTTTCCTCGTCCTCTCCTCGTTTACTATTTTTCTTCTTTTATCTAGTATAGTTTTGAGCATGCATTTTTTTTTTTTTTTTTTTTACGGTCCACGGGCCTCTCACTGCTGTGGCCTCTCCCGTTGCGGAGCACAGGCTCCAGACGCGCAGGCTCAGCGGCCATGGCTCACGGGCCCAGCCGCTCCGCGGCATGTGGGATCTTCCCGGACCGGGGCACAAACCCCTGTCCCCTGCATCGGCAGGTGGACTCTCAACCACTGCGCCACCAGGGAAGCCCCTGAGCATGCATTTTTAAAATTATTATTATAAACCATGGTAGGCAGAATTCTAAAATGAGTCCCCATGACCCCTGCCCTTGTATAATCCCTCCCCTTGCAGGTGGATGTGACTGTGATAAGATATCACTCCCTTACTTATGTTCCACTATAGGGTAAGAGGATTTTGCAGATGTGATCAAGGTTCCAAGCCAGCTGGTTCTGAGTTAATCAAACAGGAGATTATCTTGGGTGGACCTAACCTAAACTGACCAGCCTTTTATAAGCAGAGAGTTTCTCTCCCAGGCCTGGGAGGAAGAAAGCAGACAGATAGGTTGTGAACTGCCTGTGAAGAGAAGCAGCCCCTAGGAGATGTGAGTGGTGCCAGGCAACAGCTGGCAAGAAAATGGGGACACAGTTATACACCACAAGGAAATGGATGGTGTCAACAGTTCGAATCAGCTGGAGCCCACACTTGGGTGCAGCCTTGTGAGATGGCAGCAGGGGATCCAGCTAAACCATGTCCAGACCCCTGACCAGTAGAAACCGGGGGATAATACACTCATGCCATTTGAAGCCTCTACATTTATGCTAAGTTGTTGCACTATAATAGAAAACTAATATACAAACTATCTCAAATTGTTTTGTAAATTAGGATATAAACCAATAAAACATAAATAACCAATTGTGATCACCCTATGGAGTGGTATGGCTGCCATGCTTCTACCTCATATAGAATGTATGTGAAACAAATAACAGGGAAAAATAAAACCATACAACTCTTTTTAAATAAGATGGCTGGTATAGTCAAGAGTTCAAGAGTACATGTCTCTGGCAGCAGGGACTTCAGCCTTTGGATAACTGTAGTTTCTTGCTTACAGTAGTTCCCATTATTTGCACCAAATTGTTTGTTACTAGATTGTGGAGATGTACCACTGGCACAAATACTAAAGCAAGAGAAGATATAAAGCATGTCCAGAGACTCTGTAGACGGAACTCTTCTTTAAATGGAGGCTCTTCTGCCCTTCCCAAAGAGCGAAAATCAATAAACAGTGTGTAACATCCTAAACTTTTCTACCCACCTTCAGGACACTTTGAAGGAAAAGCAGGAACAGGAGCCCTCTTAAGTAGCCAAACGTAATATCTCCCAGTTGGAAATTTTATTCTAAAACAAAAAGATCCCAGTACAGTGGTGTCAAGTTTTTATCTGCGAAAGACCCGAGATATGGATTCAGAGCAGTTCATTCATCTGACAGATAGTTGAGTCCTTTTATGAATAAGACCCTGTGTTATCTGTGTTAAGAGTCAGGGAGATGGTGGTAAACCAGAGAGACACGGTTCCTACCTATTTGGATTCTGAGGGTTTGAGGGAGAGACAAAGAATAA